CCTGGCACCGGGCACCTCGCCCAAAGACAGCGCCACAGCTAGTGCTAGGAAATCTCTGAGTACCCTGCAGGTAGAGATGGGATAATAGGATCCCTTTCCATCCCAGGCGGTGGCTTTTCTCTTCTCTCTGGGGACAGTTCTTTGAGCAGTTTCAGCTGCTCTTTCTCTTCCCCTCCTTTCTCTGTGGAGGTGGCTCCCTCCCCTCCGTGCCTCTGGGTCCTGGCCCCTCTGGATCTTCCCCATTTTGCAATCACGCACCTATGAGGCTGTCTTCTTAGTGGACTCTGTCTCTTTTCCTCCTAGACTCTTGCGGTTCACTGTTCTATGGCTTCAGTCTTTCTTTGTTTCAGAGATGCGGGTGAGCAAACTGCAGGGATCGTCCTACTTCTCTGCCTTCTTGGCTCCTCCCTCCTAAAATTTTTTTAACATTTATTTATTCTTAAGAGACAGAGAGAGACAGAGCTTGAGTGGGGTGGGAGAGAGAGAGAGACAGTCAGACAGACAGAGTGTGAGCGGGGGACGGGCAGAGAGAGAGAGACACACACACAGAATACAAAACCTAAGAAACAAAAGAAATTTATACCTCAGTATTATTTTCATAAAACAGTATGAAATAATATTCTGAAAATAAGATATTAAAACAGTAACGTCACATTTGTTACTACTGAAGGAAACAGAAATTCCAGTACAATTGTTTTTTCTTCATCATGCAGACGTGCAAAAATGTTTCTTGGGTTTAGGATAGTGCTGATGTGATTGCTAACCTAGTGTGACCACTGGTCCCCATTTCCACCTGTAGCCATAGTGTGATTCTGAATAATGGCTTTTTTCACACTTGACAGTGTTGACTTTGTGTAATAAATCATATGGTCACTCTAGTTTTACCTTCCTTTCTGACATCAAAATGTGAAGCTCACATATACCATGGCTTAGAGAATGGGATAAAAAAAGGAAGGAAGAAATGAATGGAGACAGGAAGGGAGAAGAACAGGAGGGAGGGAGAGAGAGAGAGGGGAAGGGAGAGGGGAGTGCATACTTTTAAACAGTTTCCTCGAACTTAGAAAAGACTGCATGTTCAAGCACACAGATTAAATCTTGAAAAGGGGAAATACATTAGAATGAAGGACCATAAGAAGCTGCAAACTATCCTGTCTTCATATTTTCCAGCGATTTGCAGGAAATGACTGAGATTCTCTTGTCATGTTTTGTTTCGTCTTGTCATGGTATGTCATAATGACGATGCACACATATACCCCGAGCCCCATAGGCATTCCTTCCCTCTTTGCCTTCACCTTGATCCGCAGGTACGTCTTTAACTTCTTTCTTTGGATCAGCCATAATATTCGGACTCTCAGTTGGTGCCTCCTTTGGTTGAGGCTGCTCATCGCTGGGCCGCTGGGCCCAGGGATGGGTGTGTGTGTG